CACTAAGAAGAATATATGCAGTGTATTATTTGTTGAAAGTGTACTTCCAATTTGATTTGAAACTGTCTCATTGCTGTTTATCAATAAAACTTTGAAAAAAATAAACATGCAGTTGACTTCAATGCTATCAGGCAAACATCATTAACTTCTGCAAATTTCATAGGATTCAAAGTATTTTAAGAATGTTATTCAAGTGATAAAAATAGACTGCAAGATATCTTTTTATAAAACCATTTTGAAATGAAACTGTTTCATTATTATTTTATTTTTCATTACATGAAAATGAATAAAAAATAAAGATAATACATTTTACCATTTCAAATAAAAAAGGTTTCTGTTTATATACGGAAAAGGGAAGAAAAATGTGGATGGAAGATTCTGTTTTGTTCTTTTTTTCCATAATTTTATTAATAAACAAATAGCAATGAGACAGTTTCAAATCAAATTGGTAGGACAATTTCAATAATTAACACATTGCATACATTCCTCAAAGTGGTTAATTGCTGTACAAGATGCGGACATGATATCCTATCTACAAACACCATTAGAACAAATCCCTCTATTCATTAAGAGAATGTAACTATATATCTATCCTAACCACTTTGAATACAGATACAAAATGGACATTCATCTGTATACCCTTTTTTTGTTAAGTTCCATTATTTGAATATTATAGGTGTGTTAACTCAGCAAAATAATTTAAAAGAGTTCAGTAGTCCATAATAGTATTGGGTCTTCCACTTCATTGACAATATCAGAAATTGTTGACCTGAGTCCCCTACAGCTCAACATAACAGCATGGCTTTACTTCTTGTATTTCGTTTTATACTTTTCTAAGGTAAAGCAGGACCTATGCAACAAGAGTTGTAGCTTTTGGATCTGATAAAGTCAGTCAAATCCCCTCAGGATTTATCCTGAGATTCTGTACCTCAGATTGTTTGTCAGTGTCAGCCATGTAGATGAGTAGATTCTGTTTTGTTCTTAACTTAGTGATGGACATACACATTTTCATTATTTGACTATAATTTCAATACTACAGACATGTTTTATTGCCTTATATTTAATCTTGGACAGTAAGTTTGCCCTCAAACCTTATGTATTTCATATTTCAAGCATTTTCTCTATGCATACTGTCCTCCTTTTTAAACTTCAGATGGCATTAGAATCATACAAGGGTGAAATCTCTTTGATAACTCTCCTGGATCAGTCAGGGTTTTACTAGAGGTACAGGTATATCACAAGATGTACAAATGTGTAAGAAATTACGAGACTGGCTTATGACGGTCAGTCACAGAGTCACACGTGGAAGCATGCAGAGGGCATCTGCACACCCAAGACTGAAGGATTCAGTCGATGGTCTGGAGCCCACTGCAGTGGCCCATGTATCAGGAGGTTGATGGATCTTCAATGGAAGGCTGATGGGTCTGTGCCAGAAGGTTGAAGGATCTAAGGCAGAAGCTGAAGAGTCTACGATGGAAGCCAGGAGATGACATCCAAGCTGACTGCAAAGACAGGAGCTCCTCCAAGGACATGGAACACTCCATTCTTCCTCAATTCCCTTTATATCCTTTAAGTGATAGTCACTGTAGAATGGGGCCTCTACACCTCAGGGTGTGGAATTTCTGAGCCAATTTAGTTAAGTTTTTAAGTTCTCATTTGACACAAGCAGTCAACCACTACATCTCCACCATCAGTAGTATTTGCGTGAGATCAAGGAACCTGAAGTATACATGGGAGACTTTGGGGCCTTCCTTCTTCCAGAAGCTTATAGACATTTATAACAGCAATGCTCTTGGGGCTGAGTGTGGAGCTGTCCTCTGTTGAGGTGCTGAAAGCTTTTTGTGGCTTGCTACCATCTCCTGTTGTCCAGTGAAGGATTTTCTTGCTGCTATCCTAACTCTCTCGTGAGCTTCCCATCTTTCCCCCACCCATGCATGCAGACATGGTTTTTACTTAGGGCTGGCCTTTTCTGCTCTTCTTAAATGAATCATCCTTAATCCTGACAACTTTCTGTTTCTCTTCTCTTTTCTTCTTTTAAACCTACACCTTTCAAAAGTCTTTCTCCACAGAAAGTGGGCTTACTCATAAAAGTTTTACACTATGGTCCTAAGTAGTTACTTAGATTCTTTCAGGAAATGGATTAAATTGGTGATGATTGCCTCGAAATTCTGTCCAGCTTGTTATTTTTCTCACAGCTTTTTGCATGTCCTTGTTCCTCAGGCTATAGATAAATGGGTTCATCATTTGAGGTACAACTGAATACATCATTCAAGCCACTGCAGACATTCTGGAGGAGCCAGTGACAGCAGAACTGATGTACACACCAAAGCCTGTCCCGTAGAATAATAATACAACTAAGAGATGAGACCCGCAGGTAGAAGGGGCTTTGTATTTTCTGCCAGAGGATGGCATTCTCAAAAGAGAGCAGATAATCTGAGAATAAGAAAAAATGATCCCAGATAGGGAACTACCACCCAAAAGAACCGACAAAATGTAAACCAATATATAATTGATGAGCGTGTCAGAGCGAGCAGGTTTAATGGCCTGAGCAAGTTCACAGAAGTTCGGGATTTCCAGGTCTGTGCAGAAGGACAGCTGCAGCAACATCACAGTGTGGACCATGGTGTCCACAATACCAGTGGACAGTGAAACCAGAATGAACTGGAAGCAAAACTGGGGGTTCATGATGGTGCTATACATTAGAGGTTGACAAATGGTCACGTAGCGGTCATAGGCCATTGCTGAGAGTAGACAATTTTCCAAGACGAGAAACATCAGAACAAAGAAGCCCTGGGAGAAGCAGGCTGTGTAACTGATGTGGTGGTTCTGTGATTGGATGTTCAGCAGCATCTTGGGGAGTATGCTTGTGCTTAAACAAAGGTCAGTAAATGACAGGTCGGAGAGGAAGGAGTATATGGGTGTGTGGAGGTGGGGGTCAGAGCTGATGGCCAGGATGATGAGCAGGTTTCCCAGGATGGTGACCAGGTACATGGCCAGGAATAAGCTGAAGAGTAGGGGCTGTAGTCCTGGATCATCTGTCAGCTTTAGGAGAAGAAACTGTAAATCAACTGTTTGGTTTCTCGGTTCCATGCTGTTATGAATCTGATAGGGAAAATGACTAAGCAGACACTGAGACCTGTGAAACTCATAGCAACATCACTTGGTAACTTGTTAAAATGCTGAGACTTGGATTCCACACCAGATCTACTGAAAATAAATTCAAATGTTGAGGACAAAACACAAGATTTAACAACTTTTCCTGTGCATCATAAAGTTTGAAATTCCCCGCTAGAAGCACTGTGTTTTCTGTGTTGTGAGCACAAGTTGTAGCAAAATGCTCCTTACTACTTGTCCTTCCTTCCATTCTTTCCCTCCCTTGTTTATTTCTCTACGTATCCTCAGCACAACTGTATTGAGCACTAAATCTCTCACTTGTTCTTCCATGTGCTGGGAATGAAATAAAAAGTTATGATTTTATTTGCTCAGAATTATTTTGCATCTTCAAGAAAACACAAAAGATAAATCATGAACTGCATTGCATCCTTAGGGAACATTTTTCCCTGTATGGTTTGTGGTATATGAGCAAAACAAAAAGTACAAGTGGAAGAAAACCTGGAAACCATTGACTTTTAAAATGCGTATAAATTGTAAATTGTCACTGCTCAACTAACAGAGGTGTGCAAAATATTACTAGTATCAGGCATCTTAACTGAATGCCCCATATAACATGGATCTTATTTTTCTGGGAGACACATAGGCAGATGTAGGAAGATGTTTCTTAAACTGATATGCTCCAATAAAGTCCATACTCTGGCATGAGCTCTGTGAATGGAGTGACCTGTGCAATTCTACCAGTAGCCACAGTGTAGTTGAATGCACAACAGGGACTATTATGCAATTATGGTGCTTTCCCATGACGAGAACTGAACAGACCAAGTAGTCAGCACAGCGCTCAGTGCGAGGCTCTCTCCTAGTGTTATTTCCTATTGCAAAACTCTCCCGCCATCACTAAGGCGTCTTGGCTGTTTCCATCCCGGGAGAATGCATATGTGCAGCACAGTAAGAAGAGAAAGAGCAGGTGGCCCCAGCATTAGAACTGCACATTTGAGGTGCAGCAAATTCCATGCCCTCATCTTTACCATGGGAAACTTGATCATGTGCAGAGGAAAGGAAAGAAATATCAGTGACAGCATTCACCAGCAAAGACTTATTACAATTAACAAGATTTAAATGACAAAAAGAATTAGTCATACAGCATGTACATATGAAGCTTATAAAAGAGCAAAATGTAAGATATGAACATTTGTTTGTGAAACTTCTTAAAAATATTATAAACTTGGTATCAAGTATGAAAAGGTCCTTTAAAAACTTCTCCAAATAAAGCTTCTCTAACAGCAATGGAACACCTATCTCTGACAAAGCAAAACAAAAAAGGGGGATATAAATAAAGACTTTTGTGGTGAAAAAATATATAGAGAGATATACAAGATAGAATAGATATACAGCTCCTTTCTCTTAGAGCAATGAGAAGAAAGGTTTGTACTAATGTTGTTTAGACAAGATATCATGTCTGCATCTTGTCCTCTGAATAACTACTAGGAAGACAACAATATGAAATGTATTAATTATTGTAACTGTCCATTTAACCTGGTTTGAAACTGTTTCATTGCAATTTTTCCTTTTTTCATTAAAATGAATAAAAAAGAAAACCAACAACTGCTATTTGATGCTTGGATGCTAGAGTGAGAGGCAAAATGTTGCTACAACTACATAGAGGAGAGCTCCAGCAGAATGAGGCCTACATTGAGTAATTTTACAATGATGCAAAAGAGCATCCTAGTGGTGAGGACAGATGAGAACCATAGGGGAGAAGGGATATGGATCATCTTTTGCATCCAATTTACAGCTTTACTTGAACAAAACTGCAGTAAATTCATGCCTTGTTTCTAAAGAAGTATCCAAAAGGCTTTGCATTACCTGGCTGGCATAAGTGTGGAAAGAACCTCGTCATCTCCCCAGGACGTTGAACATGCAGAAGCTGCATTCTCAGGAAGAGCCCTGGGTAGACGCAGGTACCATGCCCTGTGCCAACAGTATAAGCTCAGAGAGAATCCTCAGCTGTGAATTCCCAGAGGGATGAGCTATAGGTTAGGGTGGTCACATACTGCATACCAGAGCTTCTTATATCCTTGGATACTCAATATCCAAAGCTCCTCATTAAACAAACACTAATTTTCATCAAGAGCCTGGCATTTTAAAGACCGTGCAATGATAGGATTCAGGATGGGGAAAACCCTTAGCTGAAAAACCAAGTTAATTATGCAATTCTTGCTAACAGTTTGGGCTTACATTCATCTAACTCACACCACTCATGGGAGCATTTAATTGCTTTTTTTTCATAATTTTATTGATGAACAGATAGCAATGAGATAGTTTCAAATCAAATTGGTAGGACAGTTTCAATAACTAACACACTGCATACATTCTTCTTAGTGGTTAATTGCTGTACAAGATGTGGACTTGAGATCCTATTTACAAACACCATTAGAACAAATCATTCTATTCATTAAGAGAATGTAACTATATACCTATCCCATCCACTTTGAATACACAGATACAGAATGGATATTCATCTGTATACCCCTTTTTTTCTAAGTTCCGTTATTTGAATATTATAGGTGTGTAAACTCTGCAAAATATTCTAAAAGTGTCCAGTAGCTCATAATAGCAATGGGTCTTCTGTTTAACTGGCAATGTCAGAAATTATTGACCTGAGTTCCCCACAGCTCAACATAACATCATGACTTTACTTCCTATATTTTGTCTTCATACTTTTCTACTGGATGGTTAAGTCCAAGGTAAATCAGGACCTAGGGAGCATTTAATTTCTGTGCCACTTTTCTCTATTTCAAATTCTGGTCTTATTGTATAGATGAAAACTTTGATTTATGAAACTGATTCTGGTATTTCTAGGAGTAGGCATGAAAGTTTAGGTTTTACATGCATATATATATGAAACTCACTCTCTGTCTCTCTCTCTCTGTCTTTCTGTCTCTGTCTGTCTCTCTCTTCTCTCTCTCTCTCTCTCTCTCTCTCTCTCTCTCTCTCTCTCTCTCTCTCTCATATTCCATGGGCTTTTCTAGGAGTTGCACAATGTTTCCTGAAGCTTAATATTCATCCTTTACATTTAAATTTTTTGGTGTGTGTTTTAGGGAAGGGTCTACAGGGCGTTCAGGTTTTTTCTACTAGATCGGACTCATAGTGATTCTCCTGTTTACAGCCTCCCAAGAGCTGAGATTACAGGAGTGCGGTACCATGCCTGGTCTCATTTACCATCTCAGTGTGCCTTAGGGGCGGGGCCAGCATGGCAGATCAGGGGATCAAATCCAGGCCCCTGCTCCTGCTGCAGGTGCTTTAACCTGCTGAGCTATTTGGCCAGCCCTCCTTTACATTTAATTAAAAAGATTTAATTTCAGGTCTTTACTCATTTCTATAATAGAGATATGTGGGTGTGATATTTTGTTGTTTCACAACCACCTTTACAATTTCTCTAAAATACTCAGGTTTTATTTTATTTCACATGAGGAGATGATGGAATGTATTTGTGACTCTTGATTTTCTTGCAGAATAATAAAAGATTTACAGTGTTACTGCAAATAGCAGTTAAGTTGGCTTAGCATAATCTCAATGGACATAATGAAATGTCAACTACAGTTAATAAGTGAGGACCACGTAGCACATTAGTGCTTAGATAAAATCTTTAATGAAGTCAACCTTTTAACAAAATGTCAAGTTTTGTAGCTTCATGTTAACTCTTTCAACATAGATATTTTTTAAATCGATGGAGATTGTACTATGTCATTATACATCACTAAAGGCCAAGATGGCATTATTACGTCTACCTACAGAATCTCACCCTCATTTATGTCAGACACATATCACAAAAATAGAAGCTATAACATGACACATCTGAGTGTATAAAACAATTTGATAAAGTTTTGAATTTATCAGAAAATGAACTCAAACATAGAGGGAAGTTGGGTTAATGTCAAGGGTCTTGGTCAGTGTGTCTTTAGGGAACAAGCGATTTTTCTCCAGCTAAAGAGCACTGAGTGTCCTAGAGGACATTAGATGCTTGAAACCAGATGAGAATGTAGAGGCTCAGTGTCTGAGAAGTGTGGATGAAAAGAAATTGCATTCACTACCTGGTCTTATGAATGTGGACTTAGAATGACTGAAGCTTTCAGGAAAACCCACCAAGGATCAACTGAAGCAAACTGCTTGGAGGCTCCTTTACTGAATTTTATATTAAAAAGTCATGAGCACAGGACTTTGTGCATTGAAATCAGGACTAGACAACCGAAGAGGGACTGTAGGTCACAAATGGGTACCTGGTAGATGGAAAACTGAGTCCATACATAAAAAAATAAAGAAAAATTTACTTTCATTCAAATGAAATCTGCAATTCAAAATTAAACAGATGAGCAAAAACAAAACAAAGAAACAAACAAACAAAAACCAGACAAAGTACTGAAATAAAATCCTTTAGTGCTTTCATGCTGTTATAAATGAAAGACATACAGCAGGCATTTGACAAGAACAGGAATGTATTACCTGACGTTGGCGTGGTTGGAAAGAGCAGGATGACAGCAAGGGCATGTTCTTCCTCTTCCGAGATGGCATCTTGGGTATTGCCTCATCCTGAGGGGAGAAATGCCATTTCTCTTGAGCTCACAGAGCACAAGTGGCCACAGATACACCCCAAAAATGCTATTTATGGCATCATCAATCCATCTGTGAAGGCATAATTCATAATAACCAAGATCTATTACGAAGACGCAGGGACCAACGTCTGATCTGTGAGGTGCCACGCCAGTCTCGCCCCCCAGGCACGCTGAGACGGAGACTGAGACTGGGCGTGGTGGCATGCTTGTAACCCAGCGCTTGGGAGGCTGAAAACAGGAGGATCACTGTGAGTCCGATCTACATAGTGAGACTCTATAGACCCTGCCCTAAAAAAA